TCTTTTTTTTTGCTTCTTTCTTCTGTTATTCAAGAATTTATTTATAGCATTTTAAGCATTTTATAGCAAAATTGATAAATGAGAAATTGATAATTATACAAAAATATTTTAAGCAGAGTTTATCAGCGCTTTAAAGAATTTCGTTCTAGTTAGTCTTAAGTAAAAAAGTAAAGATGTTTGCTTGTACGTGCACCGATATTAGATAAATATTCGTATCATCGCTATCTGGATATTGCATCACAAACAATCGCTCGCTAGCATTATGAAGAAAGAAACTCTCGGGGAGTGCGTCTCCTCAAACCGCATTTCGTTTCTCAAACACTAAAACACACGTCATCGTTTTTTATTATACCCACAAACATCCCACTACAGCCCAAACGATTGTATACTAGATTTCTCATTGCATTTATTTCGCTTTTCTCTTTTCTCTTTTCGCTTTCTCCTATCAAGCATCGGTTGTCCTTACAAAGTCTTCGCATGTATGCTCTTAACCAGTGCATGAGGTATATTAACGATTCCATCGTTCATAAGGTCTTGGAACGAATTCATCTTGCAAGTCTGTCCGTCCACATGACAATATATATTACTTTCTTAACTTATATATGAAGATGACTTTAACTCGCTTCTTCTTTGCTAATGTTTTCGTTCATGTGTCGGTACACTCCATAAGTCAGCCCGTCCAGCTGCCAATAAGCTTTCTTAATCTAGATATCACACTTTTTTTTAAATCGATTCTTCTATCATAGTCTTCTCCTCCATGTTTTCGCACCCTGTGTAAGTCTGTCTGTCCATACATTCTTGACTCATATAAAATTTGTAAAGCGATTTTGCTTTATAAATTTTTCCCGTCCCCCATTGCACTACGTAACTCTTCCTCCGTCCGTTTATCTGCCGGTGTACATTTTTAATCACACTGAGATCTAAGGCGACTGCTTGCCTTGTTTTCCGTTCTCCTCTCCGCATATCACAAAAATCTTCTATCCATCCATTGGCTATCACTATGCTTTCAAGAATTTCGGATTCGCTAGGCTTTTCAATTATCTGAGCATCATATAGTTGAATGATGCCTTCTTCTCAGCTTCTTAGTTGGTGCGATCACTTGTTATTTGCTCATATACATAGTATGTAGACAAATGTCCTATACCTGATTGCTAGTGCATCAACGATCATACGGTAGATTTTTTAAGGCCAAAGAAGCTAATCGCCTTACTTTCCCATTTCGATAACTCAGACGACTTCTGTAGGATGGCTATGCAATTATAAGCCTTTATATCCTTATAGCCTTATAATCGAAATAATCTCGCTAGAGGTGCGAAAATGTCAGGATTTTTTTTAGAATAATAACCTACCAACATACAATATAAACACCTTTAACAAAAAAAGAGAAAAAAAAAAAGTCTCTACTACCGACTGATGACTGTTAACCGAGAACATTAACTTATGTCGTTATCTATACGGGCTTTCCTTTTACAGCTTCTAATAAAGGAGGAAAAATAAATTTTACTAAGTTGCTTGCATTAATACAAGGAATAGATAGAATATTTAAAGTTGGTAATAGCTTTAGTCAATTTTCCCGTTTGGCTAGGTATCCTTTTCGATACAAGAGGATACCGAAAAGGATTCCTCAGATGCAAAAGAATATATATTGAAAGTTTGTCATTTCAATCCGGCTGCAAAACGCCCTGCCCACAATCTATTCAAAGCCCGGATTTAACATTTGAGCAAGAGCAACAAAATTTTAGGATTGTGATTTTTGATTGACTTAAGAACCCTAGCCTTATACGTACAAGTAAAATTTCATTTGAGCAATAGAGATTGGACTACAGATGGAATAGATGAATGAAAACATGATCGAAAATGTATTTAAAGTTAGTAAGCGACCTGACAGTATAAATTGAATAGCGTGTTCATTTCAGCACTTCTCCGGCGAATATTTAGTGTGTTTAGTGTGCATATACTCTGTCCTCTATACTTATAGCGGCTTCTTTGCTTAAGAAAGGAATTTCGATTTGTATACCTCTCCTTCAAATGACATAAAACGCGTATCCAAGATTCGATTTAAAGTGAGAATGGCTTCCCGTTATATATTCTTGGTTTTTATTTTTTACTTTTTAATGTCCGTCCGTCCATCCGTCCGTCCGTCCGTCCCCCCACCCTCAATTAGCGTCAATTATTTTATTGATTTAAATAAATATACAATTTTTTTTCCTTTTTTTTGGCGTATAATTCAAAAACGCTTTAAGAGTAAACATAGAAGGGTACCTTAATTGTTGTTGTTATTATTGTTCAAATAAAAAAAATTAATTTCTTGGCTCCTGAAGTCTAAAATCAAACGGACAAGGACTTTCTTTTCATTTCATTTAAAGGCAGAGAGCACAGTAGGAAGAAAATAACTGCAGCGTATTTGTTTTTCGCAAACTAGATTCAAAACCGTGTGAGGGATTCGTTTCAACAGATTTAAGGGTAGGCAGAACAGAGCTTGTTTTAATTTGAAGCTGGCTCTCTCTCTCTCTCTCTCTCTCTGCAAAATTTCTTCGAGAATTATTTTAAGACAAATTTAAGGCAAACCAAAGCCTTGGTGGTGTTCTGAGTGATCCTAGCGTGCAGGTCTTTTAGCTACAAAAGCCAAATTCTGTAGGTAAATATCATCAAGCTTTTGTCGGTAAATGATGATATATCGTAGCAAAGAGTAATTTTGAGAAATTTTGAGACCGATTCAAATTTATCGGCTAATTTTACCTTTAAGCTGATTTGCTCCGTACGGATACACGCATAAAAATTATAAAATTCTATCCCCAAAGCTCTATAATTATCATATTATCATAGACGGTTACGCCCCTTGATCTATTTCACAGTATCACTAGACGAAGTTAATAAATCTGATTGCAGGGTGCAGGCTCTTTTGCTTACACTACTGCATGTGCTCTTCTTTTCCACCCTTTATGTCCAATAAGTGCTTCTTGGGGGCATTGTACAATACATCGTTCAATTGGTTTAACTGGCTTTCCTGGATTAACCGATGACCTTTTTCGCTTTCGGTACCATCGTAGCGGGCTCACTTTTCATTGCCATTCGGAGTACACGGAAAAAAACTCTTTTTTTTCGTCTGGCAAGCAATGGAACCGCGACGTTAAGACTGTTCCAAATGGTATTTTCATTAACTGCTAAGCTATTCGAAAAATCTTTGAAAGTTTCCGCAGGATTTTCGTCCAATAAGTCTAGAGATTCGTTGTCTTCAAACTCTTTTGCTCCTCCAAGCCGTCCCCTCTCATTGAAATCAAAGTCACCCCTTTGAAGCCGTTGAAACCAAAACCGAGAACTGGGATATGATGGAGCAGCATCACCATAAGTTCTAAAAGTGTTTAATGGAATTCGGCAGCAGATTTCTTCAATCCCAACAACAAAAGTAATGAATGTCGAAAATGCAATTCCGAGCTTTCCATGATCAGCGGTTGCAGACACTGAGTAACTCAATCATAGTAAATAGAAATTTTGTGCACAGGAAGGTTTAAATCATCCAATGTAACCGTTGCGTACATTGATACTTCGCATTACTTTACCATTTTCACCAATAGATATCGATGATCACAATACGTGCATTTTTATATACACGTTTTAGTATATGTGAGCGAAACTTTCTTTGAGAGAATGACTTCCTCAAAATTTTCTCGCTTATTTCCTTGGGGTCCGATGGCCGGATCTAATTCATTTTCGAGAGGATTTATTCCTGAACTAAAGTCGATACGTAAAGTCAATCGATTAAGCGCGATAATCATAATGTAACAATATATCATGAATGGGTGGGAGAACGAATAAACTCCAAAAATTTCACTGTTCTTCCTCTCTCCCGACAACTATTCCAAAAACGTTGTGTAGTTTTCTCCCAACTTCCAACTTTCCACACTCGACTTATCACACACCACATCGCAATTATCTGAGATAAAGTGCCGTTTTCTGTATGGAGCACGGAGCACGGAGCACGGAGCAACAGAGCAGGTCCCGCATACAAACTCAATTTATTCGGCGCGATTGTTTGTACTTCCGCATATTTAGCACCCGAAGATAAAAGTGAAATCGTTGAACACAGCTCGAAGAATGCTGTTATTTGCCAGGCCTGTTGTTAAGGACTTAACATCCCTATATTTTCTTTCAGGCCGCCTGGGGTGCGGTCTAATATAATAAAGAACTATCCCAATTAGTTGGGCAATTTGACATAAGGCATTTTAATAATCCTTTGCGCCTGCCTAATAGTCGTTTAAAATGCATTGGCCATCCATGCTCCTTGTTTCTCTTGCATCCACAGCTGCGAGTAGTGCTACTACTGCCGCTACAAGTGCTACTATTACTGCAACTAGTGCTGCTACTTCTACCATCATTGCCATTTCTGTTCTTACTAGTGCTACTATTATTGTTACTTGAGGTACTATTATTGCTGCCAGTGCTGCTATTACTGCTACCATTGCTACTTCTACTATTATTACAATTACTGTTATTGCTACTAGTGCTGCTACTAGTGCTCCGAGTTAGTTCTTCATCTTCTATTATTCGAAATGCACTAAGTGCTACTATCGCTATTAGTATTTTCTGATTGTCTGCTTCTCATAGTATGCTTTAACATTGTTATTGCTAGAAATGTTACTGCAAACATTGCTGCTACTAGTTGAATATTTCTCTGTTATAGTGGACTAAAGGAAAAAAGAATAAGCTCTTTTATCAGAGCAAACTTTGACTTAAATTCACAGACTTTCCAAGAACGACATTGCTGCTTGAAGTCATCAACTCATGATTTATGAACAGAGTACACCCGTGTACGAACTTTCATTTCTTCATTATATATAAGACTTCATAAAACAAAAAATAAAATATGATACGGGAGTCAAAAAATCTTTCCCAAAACGATAAGGAAGTAAAAGTAAGCGAAGCAAAAATTGCATAAAATTTAAATTAAATGATTTTTATTTTAAAAACGATGGGAGAAGAAAGCAGTTAATGAACTTTACCAAATTATTTTAACTTCAACGGAAATCTTTGAACCGTTGCTTTTGCATTTATTTTTAATGGTCTCGTATTTATTATTATTGTGTTTTTAATTTATTAAACTTTCAAGGCACTTCATTCCACTCGTGTATTCAAAGAACTTTCACTTATTTTTTTTTTTTTTGTTTATTTGTTTTTTTTTTGTTTTTTGGTTTATTTATTTATTATTTTCTTCTTTCTTTGTTTTCCAACTAAAATTTCTTCTTTGAATGCGAAATTTAAGTTAAAAGGTTACATACGCATTTTAAGCACACATAGACATACATATAAAAACATACACATAATTCGAACTTTCGATCTACACGCATAACATTTGCTTTATAATAAAACGAAAAAAAAAGAATTAAGGCACAAAAGGAAAACAAATACACAGCGCCACCTAACGTATGACATACGGACGCGTTCGCTGTGTAATAGCAACTGAAGTCAAAAGCCCACAATTACTTAACTCGCCGCCGAACAGTTAAGCTCAGAAAGCAAGCAAGTACGACAATAATAATAACAACAACAACAGCAATAATAATAAAAAAATAAAAACAAAACAACGACAGCAAGAGCAGCAGCAGCAGCAGCAACAATAATAACAACAACAATGAAAACAATAACGAAAACAGCAAGCCTATTGGCACTTTAACGTGAGACCGAAGAAAACAAAACCGCAGAGTTAAAGCAGAGGCTTAACACAACCGCAATGTTTTCAGTTTTTGTGAAAATCAAAAATTAATAAAATTAAAAAAAAAAAAAAAAAAAAAATCAGGTAAACGAAAATTTTTTTAAAAAAATTTTTTTAAAAAAAAAAAAAAAAAAACCCCCCTTTTTAAAAAAAAAAAAAAAAAAAAAAAAAAAACATCAATTTGTTGCCCTCTCCTGGCATCGAAGGGTATCATGTAACGTTGTGTTGGGTGTAAGCTTTGGTAATTTGTTGTCATTATTGTTTATGTTGTTGTTGTCTTTTTTTTATTTTACTTTATTTTTGTTTTTTCTTTTTCTGCTTGCTATCAGTGCTATTTTATTAAATGCTATTTTTATACAAAAGGTTATATCTAATGAATATGCGGTTTATAAACAAATACAAAGACACATTCATACATGCAATAAACACACACAAACGTTTAACGTTCTACTCTCCAATAAAAACTTGGCAAAATTTTAATTCGAATGAATGACAGAGATAGATAGATAAACAAGTGGAAGTTCGAGATAGATAGATAGGTGAAAAATGAAAATCGAGAAATCATTTTAATTAAGGACATGATGGAATGCATTAAACCACTCTCTTGGGAAATGGAAATGCTTGGCGTTTAAAACGCAATTCAAATTTTCTTGATCTTTATCGCAACCCACTCCTACGTATTCAGATTAAATTGAAGCAATTTCACCCTCTTTTTCCACTACATTCGCTCAAGGATTGTTATAACCGCTTGAGATCGTAAATCATAATTTTTTATAGATACATTTCGGTCATGCATCCGTTAGACTCGCACTCTCTCTCTCTCTCTCCCTATCTCAACTTCTTTCCTCACTTCTTCTTAGAGTCATCGCCGTAAGCGGTGAGATCTGAGCTGAGATTTCCCAGAACTCTTACAAGACGGACGAGATGGACGGAAGTAGCAAAGGCTTAGATAAAGCAACAGATCAAAACTGTTGGATTATCTGGGCGCTTAAATTGATCAAACCAGTTAGTATGCCTCCCGATATAAGGTTTGGAATTGAGCGCATGATTTGTGAAAATATATCTTCATAATGTTGAATAGACACTAATGTTGGTTAGTGCGATATGATGATAATATGGTCGTGGTAAGTGTTTGTGTGTACAGATTGATGGACATCAACTTCGCAAAGTACGAGCACGAATTTTCTATCGCTGATTAATTGATTTATAAGCAGACGTGATTGGTGTCGTAGAAATTTATTGTCCTCCCTTTCTATCCTAGTATCCCTTTTCTAATTCTTACCTCCTGTTCCCCTAGTTGGATAGGCGAGAAGAAATAATTTTTATGTAAAACGCCAGAATACGCCACAGAGCCTCTCTGGAAGAATGGGTGTGACACGAAGATTTTCTCATATCCTTGAATAATAGACTAGGAAGAACACAGCCTATCTGCAATAACGGGTGGGACACCAAGATTTCCTCATATCCTCGAACAATAGACAAGGAAGAGATAGGAAAAAGGATAGGCAGAGAAAGTGTGAATCACCTTGTCATTGTATCATCGACGTCATTAAGAATGTGTGGAAAAAAGAGATGGAATTCCAAGTATTATCTATCGCTAGCTATACATGGTTCCCCATCTTCCGCATAACTTGCGAATTCCGCGGCAAATGAACATCTGATATTTCGAGATAATGCACAAGACGGCGGAAGCGTACGCAATAAGTGACCGCTTGAAATGCGTACGACGTCAGGAAAAGCAATATTCAGTGAATAAATGCGAATATGGTAACATATTCCGCTTTCGTGCTGTTAGCGTTTCCAATGGGCTTCGTACTATAAAACCAAGCGTGATCGTGTTAAAAATGTAACCAATGTTGACCTTTTGCTCGCGATGGCTCTGTTGCGAGTTGCGAAGCACATTGGACGGCGCCTGCGATTAACGCAGATTCGTTGTTTGCGAAAAAAGTGGAAGAATAACGTGAAATAAAATCCGAATCGCGTCATCTTCAACGTCCGCGTTCTTCAAATATGACAACCAGCGGTTATTCCTATATGTTTGCAAACCTCAGAGGTATTGTACAGAGAAAAATATTTAAGTTAAATGATTTTGTAAACTAACTCGTATTTTGAAGATATCTTGACAAATCGTTCGACCAAGGAAGTCATCGGGCTTATTGTCTTGAAGTCTTGAACTAATTATGCTATTCTTGAACGGAACCATTTTGATGAATAAAATCGAATTTACCAAGGAAAACTTTGCATTTTCTCTTAATCCCTGGACTTACTGATCTACGCATTCATTTGTTTGATATAAACACAATTTTTGATAGGTACTTGTTAAGAAGCAACGGAACAAGAACACACGGTCAATGCGTACCCAAGTCTAACAAATAGTTAGCAGAGTGTGTCCGTGCGATCGCCTAAATCATCCAAAACGTAAACAGAATGAATCTGAAGGTAGTATACAAAAGCTTAAAAAGAGTCATTTAAAGGCGCAGGAGGCTAGTATATGCCTTCTAAACGGACGGAAAGGCTGAACGTGAGGACAAATAACTCCCGACTGGTACGGACTTTCCATACGCGCTCAATGAAAATGTAAAGGGAAGGACGGAAGCAAATGCGTTTGCATCGTTCAAAAGAATTCAATTTGAAGAATTTTTTCAAAATTCTACATTCGGTACATACGATATGAATGTTGTTTTGAATCACGTTTTTAGTGTTTATGGTGTATATAGAAATTTTAGTTAGTTAGTTAAGCTAATATCTTGAGGTTTTGTCGGATATTATATCAAGCTTATATCAAGTGATAAATTTGAATTTAATTTCTGAGAAAAAAAGAAAACAAAACAAATTAATGATTGCGTATATGTGTGGGGAGAGTCAGATGACTATTGTGGGTTTGCTAAAAAAATAACTACTGACGTAATTTCCGCGGCACTAAAATGCATACAGATGTGGCACAGAATTTTTTAAGCATTACACATACCTATAATCAATCCAGCACCACAGACAACTTATCTTCTTCATTCAATGTACGTGACGTAAGCTTGTAAGATTTGGCCCTTTGTCATGCATGAAATTGATCACTTAATAACCACTAATAATACCATGACAACGGAAATCTGTGCGCATGTGTCTGTGCGATATGTGCGATACATGTAGCCTCAGCAGCAGAACGTAACGTAACGTAACTTAACGTAACGAGACAAATGCCGTAATTTGATGTCATCTTTAAAATCAACCATACACAACCTAACTTTTGCCTTAAAATGATTTAGATAGAGTTTCTGTAGAGCGTTTGCAGGAACTGGGGTCTTAAAAACTTCCCTTTACGGCGAGCTCGAATATCTCAATTTACTTACTACAGACAATGTACGCACAACTTTACCACTGTTCTGATTCAACAGAATATTTTTAGTGAAAATCGCAAAAGTTTCAGCGAAGCATGTCTTCTTTTGTAGAGAGGGAGATCGCATTTTCAGAAAACTTATCTGAGCTTTCAATAGTTATAATATAGGCAATTTTCGCTGGCGTTTATGCATTCCAAAGAGGAATGAATGAAGCACATATACCTGAAATAACTTCTTAAGAGGAAACGTTCGAGCTAACGTTCGAGCATAGGTAGAATGAAGAGACAGCTGATCTAATAATCAGCTTTCCTACGCAAATATCTGTACGGTATACTTGGAATACAAAACTAAGTTGGAAGTAAGCGGAGAAGTAATCATCCGTTATAGGCTATTTGAACGCTTAATGGATGTGGGGACACCTTTAATCCACTTCAGAACACTGATCTCAGTTCTCGATTAAAGTGTGCAAACTTACTATGGAATTCTTAATGAGCAAAATATTGTCTAAGGAGAACCTTTTCAAAATCCTACATTCTAGTGGCATCACTTGTTGATAGCTGTCCAAGATGTAAAATATCATCCATTCGTATGGTTCTCTCACGCACGCACGACAGATATGTGGGTGTCGATGGAGTAGTAGCCGCAATACAGCGCTATAATTGACCGTCTGTTTGTTGCCTCGGCCCAAGCTACTGGAATATGACCTCGACGTCGACGTATTTTTAGCCATCGATTCCTCAAGTGCAGGGAATGCGGCGATATTTGGTTGAAGCTCTATTTGCAGATATACTTATTCCTGTGCAATTTTTTGTTCCCTCATTTAGACGGATAGGTCAGTTTTCTCGAAAGCTTGAAGAGACCCTTTAAAAGGTCAATTATTCAATCAAAGAGAGATTTTAAAAATATTTGCTCTAATTTTCCATATTTTAAAGGAGGATTTTTGATGATCGCAATCCGATGGAACCCTAGCTTTCATAGCTTGGCGAATTCTTCTTCTTCCTTATTCATTGCACTAATTAGCAACAAATTGAAAATATTTAAATTTGATATAAATTTAATTCATGCAAAAAATTTATTAAAATTTAAAAATAAAATTTAAATAAACTTGCAAAAATTTACACCAAAATATTAAATTTATTGTTTACTTTTGCAGCGACGTGTAAATTAATAAATCATGAATAATTATAATAATAGAAAATAATCCGAAAAAAATGCATATATATCTGTGAGGTTTATTAGCCTAGGGCTTCTCCATGTGAATGTGTGTGTGTGTGTATGAAAGAGTGCGACGCATGGGTAACACGTGACATTGAATCCCATACATCGGCAGTGAGTAAAACGTAATTTTCAAATTAAAACAACAATACATTTTATATAACAATAGTTAAAAAAAAAAAAAGAAATTAAAAAAATAATTATATACATATACATACATGCACGCAAAATTGCAAACAAAATCCGGAAATTTAATAATAATAAGAGAATAGAAACAATAAAACGAATTAATTTATCAGAC